TAGCATTCCTATGCATGCTTTTCATGGATATGCATCTGATCCAGAAGTATATTTGTCCTACAGATTGAGTTAAAATAAGCTTACAATATCTCCTCAGATAACTATCCAGTGCAAGTGTCAACTTGATGGTTAAGGATCTGAACCTACACCAATTGATGGCATCCCTCTCCTTCCTAACCATCTTAACTCTCATAACTCCTGAGACAACAAACTTACTTAAATGGCACAACTGACTTGAGATCTTCAAAGGTGTCTAGGAGAACAGACAAAGCAAGTTGTATAGTGTCCGAAACTTTCATTACATCTTAATCTACGTTTACAAGTTGGGAGTCTTGAGGTTATGAGAAGCATAACTCTTCATTTTCAGGTAGCAAAAATAAAAATCAATGTTAAGGCACATGCACATGATCAACACTCTTTGCAAACAAAATAATTGATATGAGTACTAAGGGAAGGAGAAGTATGTTAGAGAACATTCCCAACTGCATGATTGAGCATAAGAATCAACAGGAGAACATAAGTGCAAATACTCGAACAAAAATTGGGTGGAGCAGGGGAATCTTGTTGAATCATACTGGCAGAAGCATGGGTGTCTTTTCGGTCACAAAGGTGTTGACGGAGATGAACAGGGTTCCTAGACACTAATGTGGATAGAGCTCAAAGAACCTGTGAGATGAATAGAATTTGTTCCACCGCATTTATATGATTCCTTTTCAGGTGATACCAAAAAGCACTCCAGATAGCGGCATTTGAGGTTGTCGAACGAATAAAAACACACCAAGAAACATTGACAAGCCATAATTAGTAGAACAAATCAAACGCATTAAATAAATTCAGCATATTTTAAGTCTTGAAAGTGTTGAGGATCATAACCAGATGAATCACCAAGTTATTTCTGTTTAGAGTAGTGAGGCTTTCAGAAATCGATGTAGGTATGCAATTCAGCCATCTTATCCAGTTTCTAGAGTAACTACCAAATAACAATAGACATTTAGCCGAAACTATTAAAATTATCACATGCTCTTTTAGAATTATCTCAAATATTGTATCTCGTTTTATTGTTCTTCCCAGTTCTCTTTACAGATAACAAATCATCTCTATCCTATCAAATTCATTAAATTTCTGGATTTTAGTTCTATACACTTTAGATACTTTAGAAAACTCTATATCTGTTTTCTGTTAGTTTTTGAAAAGGTCGTTCCAGAACAACATATGATATTTTGTAAAGGCAATTTTCAATCTCAAGGCAAAGTGTTACTTACATGAAAGTTTTGCTCCCACATTGCCTAGAGACAAGTCTCTCCATGGCTTTATAAGTAGGAGAATTACTTAGTCCCACGAGGTTTGGAATAGAGAAACATTGGGGGTTTTCTGGATGCTTTTAATTTGTTTGCATACTTAAAACACACTCACATTCCATGGTATGTTTTGAGAATGGTTCACCAGTATGGAGCCCAAAATGAAGAGTTTTTCCAAGCCTCCGAGAACCTAGAAACCAACATTTTCCTAGTTAAAGATCATTGAAATGCTCCTCTTATTTTCGTTTTTTGAGTAGTGTATTCATTCTACAAAGAAGGCCACGGTTTTGACATTTCCACATAGCACTTCCAGAATATAAAAAGAATACAAATAGTTTTAAGTTTTAACTAGTGAAAAATAATCCATGTTCCCAAGACTTTAAATGTATTTCTTTTCTCTTTACGTTTCAATTATCATAACCTCAACTTATTTATTTTCCAAATTCAATGTTTAAAAACACGGATGTGGCTGCCTAGGCCGGTGACCAGAGACAAAGGTGACCTGCTTTTTGGGAAGTGCAAATCCTTGCGGATTTTTGGCCCCCCCACATCTCCCTCCCATTTCATTGTATATAGAAATGACTTTTTTTTATTTAACAAGTAAGTTTTGTATGTAATATATTGTTCAAAACGCAGAAGTCAAAAGTACAGATCAAATATAAACATTTAGACTTTTGAATATGAATTAAATAGCTAAAAATCAAAAGCAACATTAAAAAAATATAAAAGAAAAGATAAAAAACAATATTCAATCGATTTGAGGCAAATAAACTCCCCGGTGTACCAAATGTCTCTCTTTCACATGCCTACTCAGGTGACCAATCGCCTAGAACAGCTCATGCGGAACTTTTTGTGGTAAGGGCATGCAAAGAAGACCAAATTCCACCTGGTCGCGTGGGAAACATATGCCTACCTAAAAAACTTGGAGGTCTAGGGATTTGGACCCTTAGGAAACACAATTCGGCCTTACTCGGAAAATGATGGTGGCGCCTAGCTACTCAGCTTGACTCTTTTTGGACTAGAATCCTTCGAAGTAAATATAGAATCCTGGAAGGAGTATGGTTGCCAGATAATAGACAGTGGCCGAAAGCGTCAGGAGCCTGGAAATCTATCCTTACCTCTATCACACAGTTCAAAAGATGGGTACGTCTTCAGCGGGTCTGATCTTTGGCTGGGTCATACCCCTCTGAGCCAAGCTTTCCCAACCCTATTCTTGCTCGCCACAAACAAACACTCCATTGTAGCTGACGAAATGGTGCTAATAGAAGGCTGAAGAAATTGGAACCCTTCATTTCGAAGGCACCTCACTGATGAGGAAGCCTTACATTTCCCAACTCTCTCGGCAGCGCTATACTCAACTTTCATTCCCTTAAATGGGACTGATTCTCTGATGTGGACGCTAACTCCTACTAGCCTCTTCATGGTTGCCTCTTTCTATAAGAGCCTCTCTCAGGCCCCTACCCTTCCTACCAACCCTCCATCAGCCCTGGCAAAAGTCTGAGCGACCATTGCACCACCCAAGGTGCAAACCTTTAACTGAATTGCTGCATCCAACAAAGCTCTCATGGTGGACCAACTCCAAAAAAGGGGGATCCCCATCCCCAATAGATGTGCTTTATGTCTTTCTGAGGAGAAATCTAACCCTCATCTTTTCCTTCTTTGCAATGTTGCACGATTAATGGAGTATGGTAGTACAGCTGTTTGGTATCCAATGGGTCACGCCATCCTCGATCAAAGCCCTTATTTCTTACGACCTGGACTTAATGGCCAAAAGCTGGAAAAACTCTGTGGAAAGCTACTGTAGCTGCTACCATATGGATCTTATTGGTTGCAAGGGATAACAGAATCTTTCAAGGCATCAAACTACAAACCCCAGCTCTCTTTCATAGGGTCTCTACCTTGGCCTCATTTTGGGCTTCTAATCACCGGACATTCATGGGCCTTCCAAGGAACCTCTTCCATAGTCAATGGGAAAATATTCTTTACCACCAACCTAGAAAGGCTATTAGACATAACAACTGGCAACCTCCACCTGCTAGCAGCATTAAGTTAAACTTTGACGATTGTTCGATTGGGAATCCTGGCCCGGCTGATGCTGGAGGAGTTTTTAGAGACCACCACCAGAAAGTGCTCTTAATGTACTCTGAACGCCTCGGTAATGGTGACTCCCAATTCGCAGAGGCTATGGCTTTGCTACTATGGCTGAAAAAGTTCAACCTTTCTTGGGGATCGTGCCTCATTGTGGAAGGAGACTCCCAAAATACTATCTCTTGGGCAAGTGGGAAGATCCCTCCCCCTTGGCAATCACCACTATTTTTGATGAAATCTTTCACATTTGCAAGGATATGGACGTCTCCTGGAGGCATATCTAGAGGACGTCCAACGTGTTCGCAAATCTCATGGCGAAGGAGGGAGCTCGAATCCAAGAGGAAGAAAACGCCAGGTCCCACTCCTTTTTTGTCACGGACCACAGGCACACTTCGTAGCTTCAAAAGCGTCTTCCTTGGTTTTTGGTTTAATTTTTTGGAAAGACACTGTAAATCATTGTAAACGGGAGAGTTTTATACGCGCCCTTTTGTATATGGCTCATTGACGTATTTTTTACGAAGAGCTACCCCGTGGGGGCTCTTGGTCTTCTCATTTTTGTAACCATTACTGTCTCAGTAATACAATGTTAACGTTTCAAAAAAAAAAATCGATTTGGTGCCAATGGACTTTTTTATTGAATTGTTTCCCCAAAGACCCAAACTACATATTAAAATGGGAAAATAATGATGTAAATAGTCAATAAATTATCAAATATATATCATACAGTATCACAAAAAAAAAAAAAATCGAATAGCAAAGAATAACATCAAAAGACATTGTGAAAAAAATAAATACATAACCTAATAAAAAATATTGAAATATAACAACCTTCTTGAAGTGGAATCGATATCAGGTCATACCCAAATGTTTTGATTCCCAAATCTCCTCTTTTACAACCATTAAAAGCCTCAAAAAGATTGGAGATGAATATCCATTAATTGCGTGACCATTCAAGGAGGTCGAAAAAAATTTCGACCTCACTACAAATCTTCAAAATCATGTTTTTCTCAAAACATTTCTCACTCTAAACTTTACTAACAAATTTTTATAAGCAAAAAATGGCCCCCAAAATCCTTTACGGGGTAAAATGACAATTTATCCATTACCTGAGTTTTTTTTTTGCAGCATTGGGCAATGCGGGCGCCTTCAAGGACCTGCCTTAAGCAGGACACCAGTCCATGATTAGGAGTTTTTGAAAAAAAACAGCCTAGGCCGCAAGGCGGCTGTTTTTTCATTCATTGTCCAAATTACTGTTCTAAAGTAACAATTCTTCTATTTTCATGGAATGCATGCCACAGAAAAATAAATAATTTTAATGGGCACCCAACCCAGCCTGTATTCTTGCACAGAAGCAACTCACAAGAACTAGTTGAAGACAAAAAGAAACTTATATCCTAAAATAAACAATAAAGGAAAAAATATACAAAACGAAATATCAATATCGCACTTTTGCAATGCCTTCGGTTTTCAAAGAAATAGTCAAAATCAAAAAATTGATAACGAAGCAATTATTCGAGCCAGCACAAAAGTATCCAGAAAAATCCTAGCCCCATGGAAATATCACACCGAATTAACAGAGAAGCAATAATCAAAGAGAAGGAAGCATAAAAATACCACTAGAGATGCTTGCCCTTACTAGCCTCAGCCTCGAAGCCCCTTTTGGGTAGCCTATCATCTTCTTGCCTTCATTGGCCACAAAAGCATTTGATACCAACAAGCTAGAAGAGCTCCAGCAGACTGAGCAGCTACCAATATATCAGCAAACAACAAGTGAGAAACGTACACTGAAACTGATACAAATAAAAGCCAGCATGTGTGTCGTCCAAGGAGAGAGAGTCAAGGCTTTTGAATCCACCGTCTCTTGCCATGAAAAAGGAAGGAAAGAGAGGCGATGAAGAATGGAGAAACAAAAGAAAGTGATGAACCTGGTTAAAGACGAGGGACTCATATCATCTGTACATAAAGAAATGCAGTTTCAGTCAGAGAATATCATAGTGATTTCGAATAAGAGTGAAGAAGAGCAAAGGCGTGAGCTGTTGGTGTCACATATCTTCGAAAAACAAAAGAGGTGTCGGTGTTATAGGGTGGTTGTTGTTGGTGCTGAGTCCCCTCATCCTGCAGAGCACAGCCAACGGAGGTTTCGTTTGCCACAGGATTGTGCGCCCAGCAAATCAGCAACGTCGCCTTTCACCTTTTTTTTCTTTTTTTATATAGTGCATGACTGCATGGTAATGATAATGTTGCTCGATCTTTTTAGTTTTTTTATTGAATTCATGGTACAGTTGTATTTGTAATAATGGAAAAAATTAGTGCATCTTTTTTCATATGAATTGGATTACTTTTTATTTTGGGTTAATTTTAGTAGTTTTGGGACCCAAAATTTGGGTTAATTACTTGTTGTAGAATAATGTGGAAAGGGGTTCTGGTTTCTCAAAAAATTTTGAGCTTTTCAAAATTTTGAGCTTTGCGGAAAGGGGGTTCTTGTTAATTATCCAAAAAAGTTTGTAAGTTAAATATATGTAATAAGATAGTATACACTTAATCTAAGTTTTTTTTCTTTTTTTTTGGAGTTTTGTACCTATTAAAAAAAATCTATTGGACCGATTAGTACGGCTAACTGCCCTGTTAGTCCGGTTCCAGTTCCAACCGCTCCTAGACCCATACTCAGTTAATCGTTCTAGTTTGATTTTTCGAACACTTATTATACCACTTGTCATTAATACCTGAAACTTAATGGGAAGAATTTTGTTTATTTGGAGCAATTTGATATGATTACATAATGGTGTAATGATTGATTGATTAATATTCAGCTAAACATTGTGATGCTTAGTTTTGGTGGGCTTGAGTTACTCACATGAGTTCTCCCACGTTTTGGTAAATTTGGTGCATACGAACTCTTTCCTTTCCTTTGTTTGTCCATGAGATAATCAAGGTAGAAACTCTAAATTAAGGGCTAGTTTCGATGTCAAATAAAAGAATCTTGTTATTAAGGGTCAGTTTCGATATCAAATGAAATATTTATATAAGGCTGACGCCTGGACCACACAATATGTGCTACATGTTCATCTACCGTCTAATAAAAAGGGCAGTGGAGATATTGGAATGCATTTTCAAAGGAAACCGGAAACTTGAAATTGCGATTCCTCTTTTTTTTTTCATCTTGGACCTTTGTTCCCTATTCTTTTTCTTTACCTCAATCTCTCTACCCCTCTTTCCTCTTGTTCTCTCTAACACTCTCTCCTCTTGTTCTCTCTATCAAGCACTAAAGCACAATAAGCAGCACCCTCGCTCAAAACCTTTTATGTGCTCATAACTCCTCCATCTCCGCTCTCTGCACCAGTATTTTCTAGGGTTTCTATCTTTCCTTTTTGTTTCTCTCTTCATCGTACCAGTTTCTTGGGGGCCAAGATCGACAAATCTAGACTTTTTTGCCGTCCTCAAGTTCTGGCCATCAGGAGCACACTGAGAAGTACTCAACGGTGATTCTTTCTTCTCACCACGGTCTTTGAAGTAGCATATTTACGCCGGATTTCAAAATTACAATTCGTAGTTGCCAGAATCTAAACCCTAGCCCATCTTCCTCATCCATTATTTGATATGCTCAATCAGCTTAGGTAATGCTTGAACTACTTTATGCTATGAAAAAGTGAGGGGTATGAGATATCATGGTTAGAAAGCTTAGGCGAGATTTTATTTAGAAATTTTACGATCTCCCATGATTTGAATTAGTTTATATTATTGTTGTTTTCTTCACACACTCTCTAACTCTCTTTAGTTTTAGTGAGTTTCTAGACTAAACCATTTGGCATTAATACCTTAAACTTAATGGGAAGAATTTTGTTTATTTAGAGCAATTTGATGTGGTTGCAAAATGGTGTAATGACTGATTGATTAATGTTAAGCTAAACATTGTAATGCCCTAGTTTTTGCAGGCCCGAGTTACTCAAACGGACACACCCGAGTTTTGGTAAATATATAGAAGTAGCAAGTGTCTACGATATCATCATGCTAGAAACTCCAAATTAAGGGCCAGTTTCGGTGTCAAATAAAAGATTGTCATTATTAAGGGCCAGTTTCTATGTCAAATGAAATATTTATATAAGGCTAGTGCCTGGACCACACAATAAGTGCTACACGTTAATCCACTATTTAATAAAATGGCCGGTGGAGATACTAGAATGTATTTTCAAACAAACACAAGAAACTTGAAGCTGCAGTTCATCTTTCTTTTTTCTTTTCTTTTTTCATCTTAAAGCCTATGTTCCCCATTCTTTTTCTTTATCCAATTCTCTCTACCTCTCTCTTCAACTGTTCTCTCCAATGAACACTGAAGCACAACCACCACCCTCACTCAAACCGTTTTCCATATTCATAACCCCACCATTTTCGGTCTCTGCACAAACATTTTCTAGGGTTTTCATCTTTCCTTTTTATTCCTCTCTTCATCGTACCAACCTCTTGAGGACCAAGATCGACATACCTAGACTCTTCCGCCATCCTCAGGTTCTGACCATCAGGAACTCACTAAAAAATACTCAAAGGTGATTTTTCTACTCGTCACGGTCTTTTAAGTAGCATATTTACACTGGATTTCAAAATTACAACAAGTAGTTGCATGAATCTAAACCCTAGCCGATCTTCCTCATCCATTATCTGATGCGCTCAATCAATTTAGGTGAGGCTTGAACTACTTTTATGCAATGGAAAAGTGATGGGTATGAAATATCATAGTTAGAAAGTTATTGGGTTGGGTTTTATGTAGAAAATTTACGTTGTCTCATGATTCAAAGAAGTTTATATTATTGTTATTTTCTTCACCCACTATCTAACTCTCTTTTTAGTTTTAGTGTATTTATTGATTATACTAGTTGTCGTTAATACTTGAAACTTAATGGGAAGAATTATGTTTATTTGGAGCAATTTGATATGGTTACAGAATGGTGTAATAATTGATTGATTAATGCTCATCTAAACATTGTGATGCCCTAGTTTTTGGCGGGCTTGAGTTACTCAAATGGGCTTGCCCGAGTTTTGGTAAATATATAGAAGTAGCTAGCATCTTGGTGCATATAAAGTCTTTCCTTTCGTTTCTTTATCCATGAGATAATCAAGGTAGAAACTCCAAATTAAGGGTTAGTTTCGATGTCAGATAAAAGAATCTTGTTATTAAGTGCCAGTTTCGAAGTCAAATGAAATATTTATATAAGGCTAACACTAGGACCACACAATAAGTGCTACATATTAATCCACCTTCCAATAAAATGGTCGGTGGAGATATTGGAATGCATTTTCAAAGGAAACGAAGAAACTTGGAAAAATAGTTCCCCTTTTTTTTTTTTCTTTTTTTTTCTTTCTTTCCTTTCTTTTTTTCCATCTTGAAGCCTATGTACCCCATTCTCTCAACCCATCTCTCCTCCTATTCTCTCTAACGAGCACTTAAGCACAACAACCACCACCTTCGTTCAAACCCTTTTCCGTGCTCATAACTCTGTCGTTTCTGCTCACTATATCAACATTTCCTAGGGATCCATCTTCCCCTTTTGTTCCTCTCTTCATCGTACTAGTCTCTTGGGGACCAAGATCGACATACCTAGACTCTTCCGCCATCCTCAAGTTCTGGCTATTAGGAACTCACTAAGAAATACTCAACGGTGATTTTTTCTACTCGCCACGGTCTTTGAAGTAACATATTTACACGGGATTTCAAATTTACAACCAGTAGTTGCCGAAATCTAAACCCTAGCCCGTCTTGTTTATCCATTGTGTAATGCGCTCAATCTGCTTAGGTGAGGCTTGAACTACTTTTATGTTAGGGAAAAGGGAGGGGTATGAGATATCATGGTTAGAAAGTCCTTAGGTTAGATTTACGTAGAAATTTTACGTTCTCCCAATATTTGAATTAGTTTATATTATTACTATTTTCTTCACCCACTCTCTAACTCCCTTTAGTTTTGGTTTGTTTCTTGATTAAACCATTTGTCATTAGTACGTGAAACTTAATCAGATGAATTTGTTTATTTGGAGTACTTTGATGTGGTTACAGAATGGTGTAATAACTAATTGCTTAATGTTCAACTAAACATTGTGATACCCTAGTTTTTGGCGGGCTTGAGTTACTCAAATGGGCCAGCAAGGGCCCGCCTGAGTTTTGGTAAATATAAAGTAGCAACAAGCGTCTTGGTGCATATAAAGTTCTTCTTATCCATTTTTTGTCTAAGAAATAAACAAGATAGAAACTCCAAATTAAGGGCCAATTTTGATGTCAAATAAAAGAATCACATTATTAAGGATCAGTTTCAATGTCAAATGAAAGATTTATATAAGGCCGATGCCTAGACCACATAATAAGTGCTACATGTTAATCCACCATCCAATAAAACGGGTGGTAGAGATATTGGAATGCATTTTCTAAGGAAACTGGGAAACTTGAAATTGCATGTCCTCTTTCTTTTTTCTTTTTTTTTCCCTCTTGAAGCCATTGTTCCCCATTCTTTTTCTTTACCCCATTCTCTCTACCCCTCTCTCTTGTTGTTCTCTCAAACGAGCACTGAAGCACAACAACCATCACCCTCTCTCAAACCCTTTTCCGTGCTCAAAACCTCTCTATTTCTGCCCACTGCACCAACATTTTCTAGGGTTACATATTTCCCTTTTGTTCCTCTCGTACCAGTCTCTGGGGGACAAAGATCATCATACCTAGACTCTTCTACCATCATTAGGTTCTGGCCATCAGAAACTCATTGAGAAATACTCAATGGTGATTTTTTCTACTCACCACAGTCTTTGAATATCACATTTATTCCGGATTTCAAAATTAAAACCAGTAGTAGTCGGAATCTAGGCCGTCTTGCTCATGCATTCTATGATGGACTCAATCAGCTTAAGTGAGGCTTGAACTACTTTTATGTTATGAAAAAGTGAGGGGTATGAGATATCATGATTAGAAAGTTATTGGGTTAGATTTTATATAGAAATTTTACATTCTCTCAGGATTCGAAGTCGTTTATACTATTGTTATTTTCTTCACTCACTCTCTCTTTAGTTTTAGTATGTTTCTTGATTAAACCATTTGTCATTAATACCTGAAACTTAATGGGAAGAATTTTGTTTAATTGGAGCAATTTGATGTGGTTACAGATTGGTGTAGTGACTGATTAATTAACATTAAGCTAAATGTTGTGATGCCCTAGT